AAAATGAGAGATAGTGACGACATGCGCGCTATAATTGTCATCACTGGCCATTGGTACCAGGGGCAAGAAAACTATCGTTTGTCCGACCTTGTTTTTGTCGTAATACATTTCAGCCGACCTCGACATGTATAATCTTAGTGACCTCCGGATTGGCGTAATGGTGTATTCTGCGACGGAATAACAATCTTATGTATTACGTTTATCCTTTAGCCAGCAGTTTTAATATGATTCAATGTCGCCCGCTCTGGCCCCAGGGAGACTTTAACTATGGCCCGCTGTTCGCTAACTTCACGTTTCTGACTATGGAGCTGCAATAACCAGAGTCTGTTCCTCAGCGGGTGTGTCGCTGAGTGGAGGAAAATCTAGTTGAAACGTGAACGGGTTTGGGGTGAACTGTGGGCTTCGCATTTTATTGCTTCCTCCGTTCAGTCACCCCACTCCCTTTCTTGCCCGCTAGCTCGGGAACTACCGGGATCTACCGGAGGGACGGCTACGCTGAAGCTTACCTTTCGGTCTGACCGCCACCGACTACTGTGCTGCTAACTACTGTTGGCTGATGATATCACTCGGTGTGCGTGCTCGTGGCCTCTAACATTGCTAATCCTCGCCCTTCCAGCGCAGTGGAATAACCAACTTAATTACATGTACCATTATCAATTAACAGAGGCAGAGGAGTAAGACTAAACATTGGCACACTGAGCGGACATTAGGAGAAGGTAAGAGGGAAGAAGCCATCGCTAACTGCTAGTTGCTTATTGAAACTAGCGTGTGTGGAAAACTTTGAAAATACGAAAAGTCGCTTAAAAGAAAGAAGTAGCATACGAGTGTTAAGGGAAACGATCTAATCGTTTAGTCGTTAATGCGGTAATATAACCGCTGTACGAGTAAATTAAGTTGTATATTTAGCGTAAACTGACAGTTACAACAACCCAAAACATGTGTGCACAGAGCAGGAAGTAATACCGGAAATGATCAGTACGCTTACCCGTAGCACGTCAGCACGTTGTTTTTCAACTCTTTTTTGTTTTTTTTTTAACACATACACACAGGCTGAATACACACTTTCGGTGCACTTGTGGACATGCAAACGGAAAAGACTGATGAGGCTGCCACGCTTACCTTAGCGCCCCATGAGCAGCTTGGTTACGGTTGCCTTGCTCAAGGCACCTCGGCAGTGCACAGGAGGTGAAACTGCCCACCTCTTTCAGCTACCAGTCAGCACACTTTATATTTGTAGTCTGTGGGAACTTGAACCGCGACCCTCCGGTTCCCAAGCCAAGTTTCCCCACACTGAGTCCTTCCACGCTTGCCAAGTTGCTTGGCTCAGCTGTGAATATCCTGTATCATATTTGACCAAAAGTAAGAGGATGTGTTACTTCCAGAGAGTACTGCTTCAACACCATGGAGTAACCTTGGATATGTTTCCAGGGAAGGTTTGGTTTTCCGTCACAGCGTTGCTTATGTTTTGTTTGTTCCCTGGTTGCGATGAGTGCGCTGGCTGTTTTTGCTGGTTCATCATACACACCCACAGGAAATAGCAGAGGGATTATAGTTTTTTTTTTATAAACCTATTGTAGATACTTTTCAAGAACAATGTATAACTATTCGCTGTATATTCTTTGAACATGATATTTAAGCTGTATAAGTATGTGTGTGTGTGTGTGTGTGTTGTGTGTGTGTGTGTGTGTGTGTGTGTGTGTGTGCGTGCGTGCGTGCGTGCGTGTGTCTTTCTCTTTCCTGACAGTCACCGGTCTCTGTTCCTCATCGTATTCGTTCCACCAGCCGGAGCGCCAGGGAGGGAAAGACGCTGTCGGAGATAAACTGTGAGTTCATACACAAGAACATGAACAAATGCATTTTCAGTCTCCACAGAAATAACCAGAAATTAAGTCTTTTCAACTCCCAAATTCTCCGTCTATTCTGCATTGTATTTTTTGTTCTTTATTTTCACTTGTGTCTTCGTCTCTTCCTTTATCTGTCTCAGTTGGTCAGGTGAAGTTTGATCCTCCATTGAGAAAGGAGACAGAACCTCACCATGAACCGGTGAGTTAATGTGGCATATGGTTTGTATGGGCGAGTGCGCGACTGTTTGTTTGTGTGGTTGTCACTTCACAAGTACCAGCATGGCTGATCCTCACTTAACCATAGGAAGCACCCCGACCAGTCCATGGTGTTGTCAATTTGTGTTGAACCTAACATGAAGCCCATCCACATAGTTCACTCTGGTAGTTTCAAAACTGAGGCATTTTAAGTAAGGATATCCCAGTCTATGCCAGCCATGGTTCAAACATCTTTTAGTGGGTAGAGAAGAAATCAGATTAATGCCCATTCAAACATGGACAAGCAGGTTACTGTATGCTAATTTATTTAATTTCTTAGCCATAATGTTTTTTTTGTTTTTTTCCCCTGTAAGTCCTGGTTTGTTGCGTGCATGTAAGCTTGAGATTGTGGATACAAGCAGCCAAAATAAGTGTTCTTTGCAGAGTGTCTGGGCTCTCCTTTAGGGACAGGGTGAGGAGCTTAGAGTAGGACCACTGCTCCTTGGCTTTGACAGGCTGAAGACGAGGAAGAGGATGCCTCCTCGACACCTTCCTGTGGAGGAATTCTGGATGTGTCAAAATCGAAAGGGGCCTTTAAGTAGACCCAGAACATGCTGGAGGGATAATAATATCCACCTGGCCTCAATTTCATTCTACAACCTTGCGTCGTAAATGACAATAAAGTAACCTTGAATGCCGCAGTATCCCCCCTCTAAATGCTGGATGACGTGGCTGGGGAGAACAACGTCTGACCTATATTGCTTAGCCTGCTGCCACCAAGAGACAGACCTGGATAAAGAGCAGAAAGTGGATGTATCTGCGTAAACTCTAACAGTCTTCCTTCTTTCTTCGGCATGGTGTTGACGCTGACTGACAACCATACAGCAGCCTTTGACGCATCTCTGAAGCACTGCAAATATTAGATGTTGTACCCTTGCTTTTATTTGATTTATATATGCTGGATTTTGGCATAAAACAATGGTCATCATCAGTTTTGGTAAAAGAACTGGCCTTAAAAAACGGTTGAGCCGAGGCAGCTTATACTGATTCTCTAGGAGCTAAAGCTGATCGTGTTATCCGGCGTTACTTAACTGCTGAAATAAGTTTTACTCGTGAACAAATGGGATGGTGCAGGGTTCATGCACAACCACAGCGTCCTGTCAAAGCCCTCTGCTCCCTCCCTCCCACTTTTTCTGTCCTTCCTTTGCACTTGCACTCTTTCCACAAACACCCTTCTGTGTTCCTCCTCCCTTTTTTAAGTCGGCTTAGAAAATCCATCCTAAAATGCCTCCTTCTCTCCTCTCTCCCTCCTTGAACCCTGGAATAACATTATGATACATAGTCACCAGTGTAGGTCGTTCATGCAGATCATCCATCCACATTCAACCCTTTGTCCTTCAGTTTCTGTCCTCTCTTTGAAAGTCCTATAATAACACGCAGCCTCGCTCTGTCTTGCTGACCTGTGTTGTTCTTGGGTCTCTGACATTCGTCATGGCATTCTGAAATCAATAAATCATAACCACATTAATATTTTATTGATAACATAACTGTCGCCAGAAGGAGAATTTTGTGCCATCTTTGCTCAAAAAAGACTGGCAGATGCAAGGAATTAGCAGCTGGAGAAACTTTCCGCACGTTTAACCTCCTGTTGTAATATTAAACTAAAAACATAGCGACACTGGAACCTGGATTAAGGTAACATCTGGTCTTAATTCAGAAGAAATACTGCCAAGAACACCACTGGAATAAGACAGAGGCTGCTCATTTGTTCACTGAAGAAAGCTATACATAGGTCTCTATATTCCTTTTATATTATTTTACGCTAATGTAAGTTATTAATGTCTCTCCTCAGTTATGCTGATTTTAAACCCCAGTCTACACCAGTTTACTCCATCCCCCCTTCCCTCCCTCCCTCAATCTATACTCCCATTCATCCCCTCTTCTCTTCAGATTAATATTCCAGTATCTCCCTCCTTCTCTGTCTTGCTGATCCACGGACTTCAGAGCCCATATTGGCCTTAATCCATTTTTCATCTATCATCCTCTTTCTTGCATCCGTGTCCTCCCCGTTTCCTCCATCAGTCCAGGTTAATGTATTAACTGAGGTCTCTCTCGCTCTGTCTTGCTGACCAGTGTGAATCTGAGCCCTATCTGGACTGTGTTGAGGAGCTCTACTATACCGCAAGATCTAATCTGGTAGTACTCTTCTATCTGTCTCTCTCTCTTTCGACCTCTCCCTCTGTCCAGCTACATTGAGTTTTTTTTTCCTTTTTATTTGGGATTTGTCTTTATTTCTCTAACTGTATGCCTTCTTTTCCATCTTACTCTATCCATATTTATCTTTCATTCTTAATCTGTTTAAGAAGAACAAGTCCTTATCCTTCTTTTGGCTCTCTTGCTTCCTGAGCCCTTGCTGTCGTTTTACATGTATTTTTTTCATTTTCCAGAGTGCTAATTGTTTTGGCTGCTCTATGTCCAACATGTATTTCTGTTAATTTTCACAGTTTTGGTCCATCTATTCTGGTCCATCCATCTGTTTCTGTTCATGTTGTTCATCTTTTTCCAACTTTGGCTTTTGCCTCACTAACTGGTGTTGTAGTTGTCATGGTGATAAGAGTCCTTAGTGGTGGTGTTGTTCTTTTTGCTGTTTCGGATTTACATACAATACACACACTCACACAAACATTACAATCAGTCAAATCAAGTTGCAAATCTTTTTTTTTTTTGTGTTTTGTGTGTAAAATATACACAGACGAAGGTCGGAGGTCAGATTCTGTTAGCGCTAGAGTGCCTTGCTTAAAAACACTTGGGTTTGAACATGGGCATTCCTACTCCCAAAACTTAATACTCTTTATATCAATATTTACACACACATACACACTCGATCTTTTAATGTTTGCTGTATTGTACCTGGTATTTGTTGTGACGTATTTCTTGAAATTTCTCTCTACAGAATGTGTCTCTCTTCCGTACACTACTGCTTATATGTCCTCTAACCTCTTATGTCCTGTAGTTGACCAGAGCTATGAAGCCTTTCTGTGTGTGTGAGCGTGTGTGTGTTTGTCTGTTTGTTTGCAGTATGTCTTTTCCTCTGCATGCTTGTTGCATTCTGTCATTATCTTAAAAAAATGTTTTTGTGACACGATGCTGCATTCACATTGTGGCTTTATTTAATAGATGTCAAACCAGGTTTTCTTTAATTTCAGGCACAACGGTGCTAATCCCAGCTAATGCTGCTTATTGGACGGCACCTGTGCGTCACTGCTGCTTATTGTCAGGCTGCACTTTAATCAGCTTGCATCTGGTTTCGAAGGTGCTGCAGGAATGTAAAACTATGATTGATGAATCGTAATTATCCAGCACACATTCAGAAAGCTTTGTTGAGTTATATTGTTATATTTTTATATTTAATGTGTTCAGGACATACCTGACGTCACATAGTCTATTCATTGCTTAAGTTGTCTGAAGCAGTGGTTCCCAACCCAGGGGGTCGGGGTCCCCCTAGGGTGCCCAAAATGTGTACGAGGGGTCCACAGAACAATAACTAGGCACAGAAGGCCCGTCAAGTTCTGGATTTTTCCACACATCAAAGTGGTGCACGTGGGGCTGTAGTAAGAGAGATACTATGTATTAAAATTGTTTTTTTATTATTGTTTTTCCAAAATCCAGAAACACAAACTGTGTTTTTATCTGCTCTATCCTACTGCTCTAAGCCACGATTGTTAGCATGTCTGGCAAACTAGCTTACTACTCGCAGTACTAACTGTGTTACTTTCAAACCATGAGGATCATATTTACTAACTACATTAGTTAAACTAAACTGAAGTTAAATTAAACTAGCACATCCACTGTGTAGTATTTCCTCTTTAGATTTTAGCTAGCTAGCTACAGCTGATAGACTGTGCAAGCTATGGTTGACATTTTAGCAGGCAAAATTTTTTTAAATATTTATGTTTTTTCTCTTGCTTTTCTGTCATTTTTCTTTTTCTCTTGGAATACGGGGTACTTTCACCTCTTTGGGGCCTAAAATTAAACTCTTTGAGCTTGAGCTGGCCTCAGTTCATGTTCACACAGAGGCCATAACTTGCATGACAGGTCACAAGCCAAAGAGGCTGGGAAGAACTGGTTTAAAACCAACTTTTGTGTCATAACAACTAATCAGATATTGAGAAAAACAAGCAGGATGACTGCAGGTATCTACATGTGTCAACCTGCGATTCTTGCTACTACGTCTAATGATGATAAACTAGGTATTCAGCAATTGCTTTACTCTTTCCAGAATCATCTTACTGTGAGAAAGACTACCTATCTTCCACCTAAAATGTCATTTAATAGGTACCGTTTTTATTTTATCAGCAAACCTCTAATTGTCAAACATGCTCTTTATGAGAACTCTGAAGACAAAAGGGAATTGCTGTTGTGCCAAACTACCTCTTATTAGCCACAATGTGAAATCAGCTGGAGTCATATAAGTTCACTGTGTACATCTGTGGTTATGAATTACACTTTTTTGTGTAAAAAATTGCTGTGTTATTGGGGGTATTGTTATTTCTGCTACAAGGCTGCTACAACTATCACCACGGCAGCTACACTTGCAGCCCCTGCAGTCATTTGGCATTTGAACAGGGTATCAGTTGTAGTCACTATGTGTATGTGGTTTATTCTGGAACTTGGCCAAGATCTTCGGCCCTGTTTATGTCCCTGGAGAAATCAAATACGTAGCACATTTTAAAATGAGCCAGTTCTGAATTATTATGTCACAGTTGTAATGTAATTCGTTTGTCTTGTAGGACTTGCAGTTGGAGTATGGGCACGATTCACCAAGTCTACTGGGAGGAAACAAGTAAGTCTACTTGTTCACGTTTGTCTTTTTCTCAACTTTCTTTCCCCTTTTTAAACCTTCATCTCTTTATTTCTCTAATACATTCTTTCATTTACAGTTGCAGTTAGACTAGCAAAATGTAAGCTAAGTGTGTTTTTATGCTGTAGGTTTGATGATTTATTCATAATTGCAGCGTGAGGATGTTCTGTGAGCTGAGTGTTTGTGTGAGCTTTCTGCTTTCAAGCATGCTTTGTAAGCAGAAGGCTCAGGTTCAGATCAGGGGAGCAGAATGTCCTGACAAGGACTAAAAAGCATGTAGATTTTCAGTCTTAGTGAATACATTCAGACATCAAATGTATATATTTTTCTTCCTCTCATTGATCTTCTATTATATTCTGCTATTTATACTTTTCTCTTCACTTGTCCGACAAACAGAAGTCTTCTCAAATCTGTGGAGGAGGAGTTACAGCAGAGGTAAGTCAGACCCGTCTCACATCCTGATTCACCCAGGACTTCTTGATTTGCTGGTGTTCTAACCGTGCCCACCCATCAAACGATCGTTGCTAATGGCAGGACTAATCTTGGCCAATCACACGCAACTAACGCTGTTGTAATGACTTCAGGCTGTCACAAACTCTCAACATTTTGGATTCTTGTGGGTTGGATTTTCCCTCTGCGGCTTGCTTCACGCTTTGATGTCATCAGGAAAAAGGCTGTGCTTCATAGGGGCTTCCTGCAGGGCATGGCTTACACACACACTCTCATACTCTCATGTGTGCGTTCAAACACACACACATGCACGTGTAATATAGTTTTTTTTTTTTTTTTAGCCAAAGCTGCAGTGGGTGCCTTTAGCAATTTTAGTGGCAAGTCTGTGGAGAAATAATTTTTACTCGCCCCAAAGATAATGATGATCTTGTGCTTTGCTCTTTTCTATGAGACAATCTGATACGACAAATGTGTTTTCCTGAATTCTTTGGTCTACATGATAACAAAGATACAGAGAGTTTTCACATCTGTAGACAGAGGGTACACATCTGTCCAAATGTTTCCTTTTAGGGAGAGGTTATCAATGTGAATTGGTGTTTTACATTACTGATCTCTAGCTAATGCTAAATGAAAAGTATTAGACTCTGTAAGGCTGTTTAGCTACTCAGTTAAAATGTATTTGTTTTCTTTTAAGCCGCTCCCAGTTTTTATCCTTTTTTGTCTCCTTTGGTGGACAGAGGTAGTAGTACTAGTAGAATAAATCACTTATCTTGTTTCAGTCTTTGAGGTTTTATCATTATATTTCGTATTTCAGAAAATGTGCAACCATCAGTCAGTAGTTTGCAGACCTGAGTTAAATGCAGTTCTTGCAGTGCCCTGAAATATAGATGAAAGTGGCTTTTTCTTCCATAGGTGTTATTTATTCTGATGTGGCAAACACAACCATTCCCAAAAATTTTAGACCCAGGTCTGGTACCTAACTGTACGACCTGTTCTAGTTTCTCGTTTTGTCACAGCAGAAGAAAAAAAGATTAATATAATGTGGCATGGACTTGAAGGTTTAAGTATAAAGGCATAAATGTACAGTATATTCACTTTAAATGGAGGTTTCAAAAATGTCCCAATCTTGAAAAGTTGCCTATTAGGAAAAACATGCAAGATAGTATTGTACTGCAAGATAGACATGCTTTGTTATTACTGTAAATTCTCAAATAAAAGCCTATTTAAAAAAAAAAAGAAAAGAACAAAATGATGCAGTCTTAATAACTATGTATAGCTGTGCTGTGGCAGTCATATACAAAAAAAGGTTGGTTGCTAATAAAGGCCCAGGTAAAAATCTTGAAGAAGGAGCAAAATGACTTGTTATGTAATGGCTCCCACTGTCCAATGTCTCTTTTTTTATAAATATTTGAGAATTTACAGGATATAAACTGCAGTTAAGATGCTATGAATGTAGTGATTAGAGGTTAAGTCTGTTGTCGAGGGGTGTGTAGATCTGTAAGGACTGTATAGGTTTAAACAGTTTAGAAGTGTCTCTGGCTGTTGCCTGCTTTTTCGGGTCTGTAGGAATTATCGGACATCCACTATTTGATTGATTTTGTTGGAGGATTGGGATTCTTCTTTTGTTTGAATGTGTCCAGTCCTTTCAGATCTACCCTGGGTTCAAGGGTTAGAGGTAGTTTGTGGACCAGCTTCACTCAGATCTCCCTCCCCTTTCCCTCCTTCCTCTATCCTCTTCCTCCTCTTCCTCCTCCTTCTCCTGTTGTCACCTTTGCTTGCTCCCTTCCTCCCTTGACCTCCTCCCCCCTTTATGTTCTCCTTACCTCAACCCGCTATTTCTATTATCTTCCTCCCCCTCCTCTCCTTTCCTCCTCCACCCCTCCTATCTTCACCTCCTCTCTCCCAGGGGCCATGTGGCACACTTAGGGGATGATGAGGATGAGGATGATGATGGTGCAGATGATGATGAAACTCACACTCAGTAAGTTGTCTCCCAGTCCTAGAACTGGAAGCCTCTCCTTCCTCGTCTGCTCCTCCCTCCACCCAGTCCTCCCCTTGCTTCAGAAGGGGAAAGGATGAGGATGAGGAGTAAGACGAGGTGGAAGGCTTCCTGTCTTTGCCACAGTTTCATCCACGCATCTCTGTGCAGCACACCCCACCATCACGCCACATATGCCACCTGTGTTAGTGTGTGTGTTTTCTATGCCATTACTACTGTCTTGTGTGAAGTCTAATAGCTACTAACAGTAACCCTAACCCTAAAAACTCACCAGGAGGCTCTTAATACAGAAAGCTTTTTGGTTTATTCTTCAGTTATTTTTCCATTTTGCCTCCATGAATACACAGTGGCAGGGAATACCTTGAGCCATGGGTAGGGCCACACCTTTTAAAGAGTGCATTATAGCTACATTTAAGCCCAGCTACATATCGTATCATTTAATTTTCACTGGATTCTTGAAATATGAGGTCTGGGTGTAGTTTCAGTGCTTGGATAACTGATCTTCATGACCTTGACTTCCTATTTGCTGTCTTGTTTTGTTCTTCACTTGCATCGCCATCTGTGTGCCTCCTCGCTGTGTGTGTGTGAGTGTGTGCGCAGTCACGCTGCCTTCTGTCTTCTCCTGCCTCTATAAAACTGTTTATTGGCGTCCAGCCTCATCCCTCATTGTGTAAAAGCCAAATGTCTGCGGCGGACCAGAGTGTTCTTTCTTTTTCTTAGACATATATTTTCCACTGCAGTCAGAAAGGCCTTAGTACTTAGCACACACACACACACACACACACACAGTACATTGATTACAGAAATAGAAAGAACCTGAATCCCTAAGTTGATTGCGACCAATAGTCGTGTAAAGTGGAATCCTGGCTACAAACACGTTGAATGATGTCCAAACATCTGAAAAATGGACGCATTGTAGGTCCAAACTTGCACGTAAAAAAAAGTGCGCACTCTCAAATTGTCAAAGAGGAATTACGGTCAATTACAAACTACTTGTAGCTGCTAAGTAGCATGTTGATGAAAACAGAACTTAATTCTGTTTCTGTTCTCTGTTTTTTCCTTTTGATAAAGCCTAAACCAGTATTGATCCAGCTCCAGAAAATGGGTCTTGGACAAGTTTCTTTTTCTATTATCAAAGTTTTTACCAAGAAAGTTTACATTAATGGAGTGAGCCGTACATCTGTTGACCGCCATTCAACTGAATCACTCATTTTTTTTATTGGTGTCCCAGTATTTGTGTTCACTGTGATTGGCTGTCAGCCTCTGTCTGTTTTGATTTGTGTGCTCTGATTGGTTCTTCGTCTGTCAGTCATTAACAAGTTGCACATGAAATCTGTAGTCTGTAAGGCAAAATGGATAAAATCTCTGCAAGATAGTGCTGCTGTCAATTTAAAAATGTTTCTAAGTTTCTAAATTTAAATGAGAAGCAAATATAATTCAAATACTAAAAATATGTTACACTCGTTAAAATATTAACAAGACGGGTATAAATTAGCATAATTTAAGAGCTGTTGAATTTGAAGTATTGGAACATTCCAACAGAAATGTTTGCAGTATTTCAGACAACATTCGCTGTAATCGTATTTTCAGTTTTTCAGCACTGCTACTCTCAGAGACTTTACACATGCTCCATCTATAGTTGTTCTTAATGATCTGTAGTGTGGCAGTCTCACTTTGTATGTAGTGATTAACCCTATAAAGCAGTTATCTTGTGTCCGTCTCACTGTCAAACAGTGTCAGGCTATGGTTATACTTGTCATTTTCAAGGTTTCTTTTAACATCTGATCACTCAACATGACATTTTTAAGACTAGACTTTAATAGTGTTATTTTATTTCTTTTTAACTACCAGTTAGCATTTTTAGAACAAGTATGAATACTAAAAGATGTGATCTTATTAAATCCGCAAATATGCAAAAACTGCTTTAAAATGAGAAGTTAAACCATAGCCTCAGTGGTAAAATGTTGACAGTGTGTTTGTTTTCAGTCCCACTCTTGTTTGTAATAAATATCAGTTGTTAGTCGGTTTTTATGAGTGTTTTGTCTTCTCATTCTTCAGTAAATCAAGCACTATCATGAGGCCAAAGGTCCCACCTCCTCTTCCTCCCAAGGTATGAAAAACTGAATGCATCAATCAGCCACAGTCAATCATTTATCATTTGAGGATTCCTTTAAAAGTTCAGTTGTTATTTTATAACACAGTTTTCTTGAATTTAGTTTAATCTCACACAGAATATGAGAAATGAGCTCTTTGTCCTTCTCTACATTTTCCTCCAGCCCAAGTCCATCTGCGCGTCCCAGCAGCAGCAGCAGCAACAACAAAAACACGACGATAGCCAATCACACAGCGAGGACGACGGCGGAGGGGGAGGGACCATCAAACGCTGTCCAGTGCCAGAGACGCCGAGCCCGGCCAAGCCCGCCTCCAACGTCCCCCCGCGGCCCCCGCCCCCGAAGCTGCCACCCCACCGCCGCAGTAGCCTAGGTAACGAGAGCCCCAAGCGCACGGACGTCGAAAACTCTGCCCCAGAGGATGATGGGAGTTTTAGGCATTTCTGGGAATGGCTCCACACGCCTCACACAGAGGAGGAGCTGGAGGAGGCGTGGGAGGTGCTGAAGGAGGTGAAAGAGGAGCAGGAAAAAGAGGAGATAAAGGAAGAGAGTAAGAGCAGCCACTTAATAGATTGGTAGTGTCCACAGACCCTGTCGTCCCCTCCGATTGGTTGTGTGGTCTCCCATTAGTCAGTCCTCGTAGTCTGATTTCTTTGTTCCATGAGTCCATTAATAACAGTCCTTTTTAAATCTTTTTTTTTGTAGTTCCTTCCGTCCATCAGCTCTTGCTCAATATAAGTGTTTGTCATTTGTTTTGCAAAGTGTGATTGGTTGTTTAATCCAATCAATCAAAAGCTAGTAGTCTGCTACCACTCCCCTTCGCTTCCTAGGAGGAAGAAGGAAGAGGAGAAAACATTGTCCTGTCTGATCAGAACTCAATAACAACACATGATAGTGACAATAAGACATGATCGTGATGTTATGGTCTGTTTTTATTCACTTCGAATGCTAGTATGCACATAATGCATATACGTAATATTGATTCAGTCTCGTTTCTCTGTTTTTGATTAGTTTCACTTTGATTAAAATTTGGTCTTTCCTGTTCCTGCTTGCAGCTTTATAAATGTAAATTCCAAAAAGTAACTTTAGAGTTTCATTGAACAGTCAGTAGACATAAGAAAACCTTACACTAAGGCACTAAATAAAGAAATTACATTTACTTCTGAGGCAATTTTTCTTGTCTCTGACAATAAGAGACCAGTACATTGCAAGTATTGAAACACCAAAACAGAAACAAACCCAACTATAATTCCTTTCTGCAACAATTCTGCAAAAACTTTTAATTTCCATGTAAGCTTGGAACTAAATAATTAGCAGAAGCTAGTTAGTGTGCGCGTTACTTCTTTGCTCAGTAGATTGAGAGTAAGCAGGTCCTATTATAACAAGCACACATCGGTAGAGTGTTGTTCCCCAATCATGATGGGAAATGTTTTTGTCCACAGTCCCAGAGGCTAGCTATCGCAATAAAGACTTATTTTTTTACTATTTTATCAGCCAGCTCAAACCTTAGAGCAGGGCGCGCAGATTCGTTGACCACTAATGACCACCATCGAGCAGGTTGGATGTGCGCATTAACACCTTCCTGTGCTCATGACTATATTTGATCCTCTGTATTCTTCCTGCTAGCCTGCTCCCTCCTTCCCTCCCTCTCTGCTCCCAGTAGTTTGTTTGTTACTGTTTTAGTTTTGCTCTTATATGTCTTCAGTCCTGTAGATTACATTGTACTCATTAAAACCAACTATAACTGTCAGTGTGCAGCTAAGTCTATTTCTGTTTTGTCACTCATGTTTTTCTTCATACGGCTACATATTCTCATTCACGCTCTCACTCAGTAGGCTCTATTGGCATGACATTTGACATGTCGCCAAAGCACAGTTACAATAATGTTAAAGAATGTTATTATTAGTAACACTCGTACCATCTTAGTTTCTCTGTCACACACTGAGTTGTGTTTCTGTCGTTGTAGGTAATGGGCTGAACTCTCCACACAGTGGAGACAGGGACAGTCCAGCAGACAGACAGTCCACTATGCCCCCTAGTGTTCCCATACGGAAAGACAAGAAGGATGTTCCGGTAAGCACACTTGGCTCTACAGCAGCGGGGTCAGGGGCCCCTCCAGAGATCTTTGAGGAAGCTCCAGTGTGGACGTTTTTGCTTCTAGTGAACGCCTTACTTAAATTATTAATAATAGACATAATGCTGTGGTACAGAGAAGTCTGGCACTAAGGCGGTGAGGGGTCACGTCCTTTGTACTAGCAATTCTTACTGGTGGGTCAGGGTGCCACCCATTGTGGATGTTCTGAAGCTCAAAATTTGTCAAGTTTCGGAACAGTTGGAAGGAAATTTTGCCATATGCAGGAATTGTCGTTACTGTAACAGAAATTAATATGTATATTTATGTTTACCTTCAGCTTCATTATTCCCTCCTTGTCAAATCGTGTCTCCCTAGGTAGGATTCCCTTACAGTGTGTTATCTGAATCATTCATAATTCAGTGCTAACCGATTATGTGTGTCTGTGCGTGTGTTTATCTGTCTGTCCTAGAAGCCAATCAGTAATGGCCTCCCTCCTACACCCAAAGTCCATGTAAGTAACAGTCTCTTTCTGCTCTCCTTTAGAAAACTGTTGTTGTGAGTGGTGTTGTGCCGGGAAACAACAATTTTATCACCTGCTTCACACTTGGTTGCATTACATAGTATTTCTCAGTTGGTTCTCTCTATAGCAAGCCAGTGCAACATTTAAACTAAACTATTTACTCCTTGTGAAGACTTTAACAACCCTGGAAGGATTATTAAACAATCTATAGAATTCATCATTTGCATCCCATTTATTCGTCTCCTCCCGTTGGCAGATGGGTGCGTGTTTCTCCAAGGTGTTCAACGGCTGTCCTTTGAAGATCCACTGTGCCACTTCCTGGATCAACCCTGACACCAGAGGTAACCAATAGGAAACCAGATACAGTGTTGAACATCTGTTTACAGGGTGATGAATGTGGCATTAGTTATCAAACCACCCTGATTCTTGAAGAAACGTTTTGATGTTGTCTAATGTGAGCGGCTGCTTTGCTCTCAGAAGTGGTAAAATGTTTGTTTGTGTGTGCGTTTCAGACCAGTATTTGATATTCGGAGCTGAAGAGGGAATCTACACGTTAAACCTCAATGAACTGCATGAGACCTCGATGGAACAGGTGAGACTGGAGATTATGCTTTTTAAAATGTAAGACAATGTGGTTTCAACCTTCTTTACATTTTGGTTTATACTTTCTTGCTGTTATGATGCCTTCCAGTGGTAGTCATATACTATATTGTATGATGTATTTGTCTTTTTTTTTTTTCTTCAAATAGAAAAAAACTAAACATTCTTTGATGTGTGAAACTGTGACCAGTTATTTTAGCTAGTTGTGTAATGGTGCTGATTTGCTGCATGTCTCTCTACCTTTTATCTGCAGCTCTTTCCCCGGCGGTGTACCTGGCTATATGTCATGAACAATTGTCTTCTTTCCATATCTGGTGAGCTATAACATGTCTGTGTGATGGAATTGTGTGATAAAAGTTGACTATATAAATTGTTTTATTCCTATAACAGTTTTATACATCTAGTATCCAAAGTCAACATTATTCATTCTTTTCTTTTGGTCTTCTCTTTTCTTTTCTGTTCTCTTCTGTTTTATTCCATTCCAGGAAAAGCCTCGCAGCTGTACTCCCATAGTCTGAGCGGTCTGTTTGAACAGGCCAGACAGTTACAGAAGTTACCAGTAGCCATTCCCACACACAAACTGCCTGATAAGATGATTCCCAGGTAACTCTGCAAACAGGATGTCAAACTTATTGGACATGAAATGATAAAGTTCTATTTCTTTTTGATCCACTGAATTGCAATCTTCCATTCCTGTTAACGCATCTGTCTTTAGTCTTAGAAGATTTAAATAACTTTCAGTGAAAACAGAACAATATGAAGAATCTGTGCAACATGTTCTCAACACAAAAAAGCCTTTTTTATGTGACACTGATTTCCTTGTTTGTCTGTTTACAGGAAGTTTGCGGTGTCCAATAAAATTCCAGACACTAAAGGGTGCCAAAAGTGCTGCGTAGGTGAGTTTTAGAGGGAGGATTTTATATTTTTTGTGACTGGTAGTACTGCTTGTTTCATGGCTCTGCAATACTGCATGTTCAAGACTGACTTCTGTCACAATTAACTACATAAAAACGTAGCTTGATGTTATTTTTTTTCAAAGCATATGTAGAATATTACTGGTAGTACTTCATGTAAGTCTCATAAATAATTAAACTTAACAGTCAGTAAGAACGGAACACTGTAAAACCACAAAATGTACTTATTTTTAAAAGATAAAAACATCTCACAGGGAATTACGAGTATAATTCACACAAACAACGCTATTACTACGTCTTACCAAGCTACAAAGTGACTGAAAACTGTTGTTGTTTCCATGCAGTTCGTAACCCGTACACAGGCCATAAGTACCTGTGTGGAGCCTTTCAGTCTAGCGTCATGCTGTTGGAGTGGGTGGAGTCCATGCAGAAGTTTATGCTCATTAAGGTCAGTTTTTGCACTTTAAAACCTCTCCTACAAACATGACATGACAATGTTGGTCTAAAGTCTGTTTTCTAATGTTAAGAATTTGAAAATGTTTAAATTTAAGCTCTAAAATAATTAAAATATCTTTAAATATATTATTCAGCTATACTGTCAGTACTATTACCTCCTCCGAACTCAAGTACTACAGCCACAACTCTGTGTGTTCACCCAGTCTTCACAGAAGGTTTCAAGGGTTCGGGCCCAATCTGCTTTATTACCTCTATGAAAGTTTTTGTTCGTCTTTTTTGCAAGTTGAGCAGTTTCTTCACGCTGCCGTCTTCCAACGTCTCCCCACGATTTCATTTGATGCCCAAGCTATGTGCAGCCAGCTCAGTATTTCCTGTCTTCGCCAGAGTCGATGCTTAACTTTAATAAGTGCTGCTATCAATGGCGTTTTCTGTGGTTGTCCATGATGGGGAGTGTATGGCAGTTGAGCCGCAAAAAGTGGAGCGACGATTTGAATTGAAGAATTTGAAAACTGATTAGAATTGAATTTCAGCAAGACACCA